TTCCGTTGCAATATTATTAATTCGTGACCGATATCTACAACTTTATATCGCTTTTTCCTAATGCAAAAGACGTAAACCTGACAGACTGAAACAAATTGTGTTTACTCATCGCTGGAAAATGTCTATATTCTCTCGCTCTCAAGGAAACGATATCGAATATTTTATGGTGTCAAGGGAAATTATTCAGAAAATCAAGGGTTATTGAAAATATCAGCGTGTTTTCTTTTCAATTTGCCAACTGAGAAGATACGTAATATTTTTAACTTACTCGTGCTGAATCTAGAGAAACCTTTTTATTTTAGTAATTTTTAGATTGATACAATCAGTATCAACGAAATTAACTAACTAACGACGAACTATCGGGAACAGTTAAATATTGAAATGTACAGAGTGGTCGAAATTGGTCTGTTTTAACAGAGAAAACCTATTTCTTGACTAGATAGAGCAAAACCAACATAGATGTCATGGGCTCGATTTCTGAGAAACGTTTAATGGCCTAAACCGCCTGTTCATATTTTCACTGCCAACCGAGATACGGAGTCTTTTTGAATTTTTTACCATTTGGAAAATTGCCCATAACTTTTGTATTTCCCGGAATAATAAAATTCTGTAAAAACGTTCTTAAGGCACTTTTTTAAGCACAATCCAGTGGCATAGTCAGTTTTTCTCTATACTTGTTTTTTTAATCAGAAATAATAAAAAATATAATTTTTTAAATGGAAATCATAGTTGGCTATGAACTTAAAAAATGCTGGCGTTTAACTCTTTCCAACGATATAAAGTTATGTGTATTTATTTCTAAAAATGAAAGAAATATTACGTTTTTTATCTTTGTATCGAAGCGGGCCTTGATTTTGTGTTGACCTATAGTTGCCTAATTATTTTTTTATCACAATTTAATATTCTATATCATTATTTATCTGCATAATTAAAGGCTTTTGAAAAGGTAAATCAACATTCTATATTAGTATTACCATTTACAATTAAAAAGCCAGGGTTACAACTGCACTATTAAATGGAGAATTTAGAGAGAATTGGATTGGAACAAGGGATCCCATATCTTGGCCTGCTAGGTCCTGTGATGTAACTCCTTTCGAATTTTTTTATGGGGGAAATTAAAAGGCCTTATATATGAGGGAAGAACCATTGGGACGAGAGAAGAATTACAGAAGGCTACTAGGCAAGCTTTTGGACTTATTACATCAGTTCGCCTAATAAATTGTTGTAACTCTGTGCGCAAAAGATGTTTATTGTGTATTTAACAAGGGGGTGCTCAGTTTGAACATCTTTGATGATTTTTTTTAGAAAACTATATTCGTCACTCAAAAAATACATTTTTTTAGTTTTATTCTTTGTTTATTTAATTGTAATTAAGTCTTTAATCATACTGTCTTTAATCATGCAGATAAAATACAGAATATTAAATTGTGATAAGAAATAATTAGGCAAATAGGTCAATACAAAATCAAGGCCCGCTTCGATATAAAGATCAAAAACCTAATATTTCTCTCATTCTTAAAAATAGATGTCCATAACTATAGATCATTGGAAAGGGTAAAACGCCAGCATTTTTTTAAGTTCATAGCCAACTATGATTTCCATTTAAAAAATTATATTTTTTATTATTTCTGACAAAAAGAGCAAGTATAGAAAAAAAAATGATTACGCCACTGGATTGTGCCTTAATAACGTTTTCAAAGAATTTTATTATTCCGCAAAATAAAAAAGTTATGGGCAATTTTCAAAATGGTAAAAAATTCAAAAAGACCCCGTATCTCAGTCGGCAGTGAAAATATCAACAGGCGGTTTACGCCATTAAACGTTTCTCAGAAATCAAGCCCATGACATCTATGCCGGTTTTGCTCTATCTAGTCAGGAAATAAGTTTTCTCTGTTAAAACAGACCAATTTCGACCACCCTGTACATTGATTTAATATCATAAACTGAAATTCAGTAAAAACGGAGATAGCTACAGTTCTATAGAATAGTTGTTTCTAGTTTTCTAAGAACTAGGTATTTTTTGAATATGGTAGACAATGATTCAGAATTGAAACTAAAAGAGTTTCGGACTTCCATTGTCTTTATTTTTTTTAACTTATACAACGTTTCGGTCAGAATTCGAGATTTAGCATTTTTTTTCTTCCTTTATAATGTAGGCTAAACGCTAACTAAAATTCAAAATTTGAAGTTAGTAAACCTGTTTGAAGTACCTTTTTTTTGGAAGAAAGAAAGGTTTGCTCAGAGGGTGGTATATAACGTGGTTTCATAACGTGGTATACTGATGTTTCCAAAACCAAAGGAGGAACAGGGATACAAGTATTTGGGCCGAAAACTAACCGAAGAAACGGCGAATGCAGATTCTGTGGGGAAAATGGGGAAACACCAGAACACCTCATCATTGAGTGCGTCGAGACGACAACCAACTATGAACTTTGGAGATGGAGAACTATCCTCTGTAAAACCGTCTCAGAGACTGGCTTTTGTCAAAGCCCTGGGACTGTATGATGAGTTATAACTCAAGAAAGGGGGACACAATAGATCTGTAAGGTCGCAGTGATTAACCCCCTCCACTCATTCTAAATTCTAAAAACTATCCACAGGAATTTTCCTATAGGGTGTTGTAAAATTATAACTAAAAATATAATTGTGTATATATATATATACAAAAAAATGACTAAAATTTTAGCGTGGCGGAATTTTTTGCCTGTAAGTTTAGTATAAGGAGAGATTATATTTTATTCCGTACTATCTTCCTGATATGTCAAGTATGAATTATCACTCCAATTTGTTGTAAATTGCATTCCCTTTATCGCCTTGTTTACAATCTGCCGAAGCACTTATTGGAATTCACTCAAAACTAAATCAACGCCAACTTAGCTTCATTAATAGGCCCCTCTGCCCCTCATCGATATGTAGTGCCCTGATAATGTTCACCGATTAGATAATTATGTTCTCTTATTTTTACGCTGTTTTGATTTTTGTCGGAAAATGTGCATTTGATGACTTGCTGGTTATTGAAATGAAATAACTAAAAATAAACTAGAAAGCATCGGTGATTTTTTGTTAAAAACCATTTTTACTCGGTCGATTGGAGAACTTTGAGATCGCGTTACCAGTAATTGCAGGCACGCGTATTGTTCTTTAAAATAGACGATGTGTGATGTTTTATTTTTCCGGTACACATATGTTGCGCAATTTTCCATTTTTAAAACAAACATTTTGTAGCTGTAACATAAGTTACTTTAACTTCAGGATTGTTTGGGAAAGGAATACTAAGGTACTGAGATGTCAGAGGATCTTAGATAAACAGTGCCAACAACACATTTCAGTCGTAGAAATATAAATAGATTTTACATCTCATTCATAGATTAGAAGCTAATAGTATTATTGTTTTAAAAATATAAAAAAGCCTTTAACTTCATTCAGAACCTCGTAATTAGTGGAATAAATTAGTGGTTTCAATTACACTTTATACTTTTTAGTTTACGATCATTCACAATGTCTAAAAAACACAATCAAAATTAATAGAATATCCTAGCAACAGCTTGCTGTAGTAAGGGGTATCCATCTAGAAAGCGTAATATTTAGCTTATAAAACAATAAACTTTTGATTTCTAACCACAATTTATCTTGACGAATGATAATCAAAGGCCAAAATAACATTCATCGCAAGTTTTGAAGTATAATTAATGGAAAACTCAAAAGTTTCTTAACTTTTCCTACTAATTGAAAATGACTACCACTAATTTAGACGTTCTGAATGCTTACATTGAAAGTAAAGGAACAAACGCTAATTGAAACTACTAATTTATTCCACTAATTGAGGTTCTTAATGATTGTAGAGTTCTTGAAAGACCAGTATTATAAAGAGATTATTATATCTACCCAGGAGCCAAATATGTTTGATTTCCTACTGATCAAAGCTGTAGATCCTCGTAGCGTGATAGCTTTCAAATTAGTACAAGTAAGCTTAATAGGCGCTGCAAAAAAAGTTACTCAGAAAAACTACAGAAAAGTTACTTCCAGATCCTCTGAAAGAGCCTTACATTCAGCCCAAATGCACTTTAGTCCTCGAATTGAAAGAGGTTTTGGTTCACTCAGAATGGACCCACGCTTCTGGGGAATGAAATATAAAAAACGTCCTTTAATTGAACAGTTCTTGGAGTCCGTAAAAGGCCACTACGAGGTTATTATTTTTACCCAGGAGCCAGGTATGGTTGCTTTTCCTTTAGTAGAAGCCATAGATCCCCAAAATGTGATTGATTTCAAGCTGGCTCGCGATTTGACACAGTTCACTGGGGGTTGACTGTTAATACATTTCTAAAATTCATTAAGAACCTTTCCAAAATCATTTTTGTCAACTGCGTCAACGATAAGTTTATTAGATACAACTGAACTACTTTCAAAATTACACGGCAATGACGTATGTCGTTGTCAAATGTGGCATAAGAATATAATAAAATACCGTCAGATTTACTTTAACATTTTACGCTTTAGTTCCAAAGTTAATAGTGATGCTGGAAACAAGAAACCTGTGAAAGGTTTAGATGAAAAAATTTCTAAGAGAAAATCTAGAGCTCGATCGCAACTGGTTTATTTGTTATCAGCTCTATCATTTACTTGCCTGAGTGCGTACATTATAATAAGCCTAGGCGCTCCTGAAGACGACGATGACGGCATACCAATAAGAGACAAATTTTGTCAATATCATCCAATAGATGCTTACCTGCTTAGAACATACAGGGAACTTTGTTATTATCGGAGACTCCTTACGGAACCTTCTACAGAAAAGTTACTTCCGGATCCTCTAAAAGAGCATACCAAGTACACTTTAGTACTCGAATTGAACGAGGTTTTGGTTCACTCAGAATGGACTCAAGCTTCTGGAATGAAATATAAAAAACGTCCTTGAATTCAGCAATTCTTGGAGTCCGTAAAACATAACGAAAGATAAGTTTATTAGATACAACTGAACTACTTTCAAAATTGCACGATAATGACGTATGTCGTTGTCAAATGTGGCATAGGAATATACTAAAATACAGTCAGATTTACTTTAACGTTTTACGCTTTAGTTCCAAAGTTAGTGATGCTGGAAATAAGAAACCTGTGAAAGGTTTAGATGAAAAGATTCCTAAGAGAAAATCTAGAGGTCGATCGCAATTAGTTTACTTGTTATCAGCTCTATCATTTACTTGCCTGAGTGCGTACATTATAATAAGCCTAGGCGCTCCTGAAGAAGACGATGACGGCATACCAATAAGAGACGAATTTTGTCAATATCATCCAATAGATGCTTACCTGCTTAGAACATACAGGGAACTTTGTTATTATCGGAGACTCCTTAAAGAACCTTCTACAGAAAAGTTACTTCCAGATCCTCTAAAAGAGCCATACATTCAGCCCAAGTACACTTTAGTCCTCGAACTGAACGAGGTTTTGGTTCACTCAGAATGGACCCACGCTTCCGGGATGAAATATAAAAAACGTCCTTTAATTGAACAGTTCTTGGAGTCCGTAAAAGACCATTACGAGATTATTATTTTCACCCAGGAACCAGGTATGATTGCTTTTCCCCTAGTAGAAGCCATAGATCCCCAAAATGTGATTGCTTTCAAGCTGGCCCGTGATTCCACGAAGTTTACCGGAGGTCGTTACGTTAAAACCTTGTGCAATCTCAACAGGAACCTCTCCAAGGTTATTTGTGTGGACTCCAACAAAGACAACTTTCTGTTTGATAACGAAAATTTGTTCTGCATGCAACCTTGGGGCGGGGACGACAAAGATACGTCACTGTTGGACCTGGTGGGCTTCCTCAAAGCTATCGCTGACAATGACGTGGACGATGTAAGGGAGGTGTTGCGCGTGTACAGAAAGTACGAAGATCCCATAGCGGCTTTCAGGGAGAACCAGAGGAAGATGATAGATAAGTTGGAGAAAGAGGCTGAAGTGGAAAGGAGACAGAAGGAGAAAGAAGCTCGATGGTCCAATTTTTTTAAATTGTGCAAATGAAATATATATTTTTTTAATATGGGAATACATTTCGGTTTTATTGTTTCAATTATATCAATAGAATTGCCTGTTGTAAATACCATATTGTGAATATGAATAATGTTTTCGAACTACTTATACTCTAATAGTCCGATTGGGCTATCAAAATCCGTGTGTTTTTAGTAGACCTTTTTTATGATTCTAAATAATTTTTAAGGTGTTAACGTTGAAATTTAGCGTACAAGTCGCTTCAGAAATTTTGGCATATAGTCGCTACTGTAGAACATTTTTTATTTTTATGAAAACATTTCCAAATCACCTTTTTACGTAGAATTTAATTATTGTTTAATTAATTATCAACTGAAAAATTGATTTTTTATTTGGGACGTCCTGTATATTTTTAATTAAATGAAAAGAACTTAAAATAACCTTTGTAAAAATATAGCACACTTGATATTTTGTTATAATCCCCTTCGAAATACAGAATTTTTAAAAGTTCGCCACTTATAACTAGTAGGCTTTGAACGCCTTATTGAAGATTTGCCCCTAATGGAACTCGAAAACATATTCTAGCAAGACGAGGCACCGCCTCCAAACGCTGAAGTTCACCTAACTTTTGCAGCCAATTTTGAGAATAACTGATTAGCTAACCAAGATTCCGGCCGTTAGCCGTCGAGGTCGCCGGACTTAGTGCCTTTGGATTTTTATCTTTGCGAAAGATTAAAGGTTCTTATTTTTAAATTGCCCGTATAATCTAGACAATAATTTGAAGTACTTAGCGGTTATGCGAGAGTATCTTTCACCCCCCACTGAGTTAATGAATTCTGCGAGAAATGTTCAATAACGGCCCCGTCTGTCTATAACAGAAGACGGTCGATATGTCGAACACCTGTAGCAAAATCTCATGTCTTGGTATGCTATTAATTTTTATTGTTATTAGATATAGTTTAAATGTGTTGATGTTGTTAAATATAGTTTAAATTGTTATAAAATTCTAAATCTCTCATTGCAAATATTATTTTCGTTTTAATTGCTGCTCACAGGTACAAGTTTTTGGCATTACACTCGGCGCGGTTCAAAGCCTACTTATTCAAAGTGGGCGAATTTTTAAAAACTTTATATCTCGAAGAGGAATCGAGCAAAATATCAAGTATGTTATATTTTTGGAAAGGTAATTTTAAATTCTTTTCAATGAATTAAAAATATACCGGGTGTCCTACATAAAAAATCAAATTTTCTGTTGATAATCGAATTATTAATTTTAAAAAAATTATACTTAAACAATTAAATTCTCCGTAAAAAGGTGATTTGGAAATGTTTTCATAAAAATACAAAATTTTCCATTGCAAAAAAGTTAGAGCGATTTGTTAAAAATGCACATTTTTGAAAATATTGAATTGACAATTTGAAAATATATGTTTTTTTTTTATAAAATTGAGCTCCAGACACCGATATTATTAGTTTTCGCCTATCTCCTATAGAAAAGGGGGTTTTCCTTTTAAAACGTCCAATTTGACCCACCCTGTATATGTAATTCCATTAGTGAGACACCCCTCTATCTCTTCTAATGTAATTGGTACTAAAACCAAGTACATGGAAAAAATCTCTTAATTTTCTTTAACGTAATTTTAATGTTATAACTATTCTAACACTCAAGTTTGCTCAATTTAGTAGGTACCTGCTTTTTTAGGAATTTCCTTTTTATAACATCGGAAAATTAATTTTGGGTATTAAATTAAGGCGATATATCATGCTAAAGATGATATATTTGTGCCGTAAGCGGTGACAGTTCATAAAAAATATAAATATTAGTTTTTTTGTACGCTAAATACATCAATTTTCGTAATAGAAATATGTACGTAAGTATATTTAACGGTAAATGGTTAGTTTTTAATTATGGAAAAAGAAACACGTAAAATGAATCATTGTTATTCGACTAGGACAATAATGTACCTATAGTAAAAACATTAATAACATTAATATAAACATGTCAGATAGTAACGATGTTTGTCAACAAGAAACTCAATATTAAACATTACAACTTCGAAATAAAAACATCCGTATGCCACACATATTATTTCTTCACTAAATATGAAGTAATAATATTCCATATTATCAATAACTTTAATAGGTATAATGTTCTCTGTAATTACACACAATTGATTATTTTTATTTATAGAATTTTATAGTTTCCTCAAAATATATGCTTTACATACTTAGCTAGTAATCAGTGTTTAAATTTAACCAAAGTTATTTATTTTATGTTTTATAAGCCATCTGGAGTGCTTAAATTAGTTTTATAATTTTTAAGAGCTGACCCTCACATTTGTCATGAACGAAAATATGAAATTATGTTTAATATACACTCACCGGCACGAAAAACGGGCACCTTAAAATGTTGATGTTATTTAAAGTTTAATATATTTTGTTCTAGTTAGATTTTGATGATTTTTTAAGCAATTTGTAGCTAAATTATTTGACAATTTAGTATCTCGTTCTAAATTAAAAATGAAAGTTCCCATCTGTCAATTATAACATGCAAGGGAAAACAATTCTATTTTCTAAAATTTTTGACAGATGAATTTTGGCAAAATTTTAAGGCGTGTTAAGCTGTCGTGTTAAACCACACCCAAAATTCCAAACACACGTGCAAACAAAATTAAGGCTTGATTAAGGTCTGTAGAGCTTCAGCATTTTCCATAAAATAGCGAGCAATTTGTTACAAAACCATATAAATTATATATCACTGTAATCATAATCATAAAACTTCATTCTATTTCCGTATTGTAACGGAATTTTAAATTATGTTTTTATTTTCTAAAAAAAATAGTCCAAAGATAAGGAATATTTTGTTGATGACCATCAAAATCTTAAAAATAAAGAAGTTTAAAAATGTGCTACAATACGGATATAGTATAATCCTTTATCTTCCCTTCATCTATTATCTCTTCTTCATTTATGTAAAAATGCCTAGCCAGTTTTACATCAAACGTTAAATGCCGAACGCTTATTTTGCTACTTTTTCGGACTAGTGAAATGAACGCTTAAAACTATCTATACTAGAGTAACTACCCAACAGCAAACAGACAATAACAATTTGATTTTTCAATTTCAGTGACATTACATAAATCATAAACACTATTTCATAGGTCTGTTTACTGGGACCAAAAGCAGAGGCATGGTTTTAATGTAAAAATTATGAAAAAATGTTAGTGTCTTCTTCCAAAATGAATATTTCCAACAAAAATAAAGCTATTGAGGTGAACCAAATAGTATCGAGAAAAGATGATGAGATCAAAAATTGTTAGTATCTTTTTCAAATGCGAATATATCCAACAAAAATAAAGCTATTGAGATGAAACAAAAAGCAAATTGTCGAGAAAAGATGCACCTAGATGATAAAATTATTTTTAAATTCCTTACTTTGTTAACATATTCCACAGGGTGTTTCAAACTTTCACCAAAATATCAACATTTTGTTTTCCGTAGTATAATCGACAGATGGGAACATTCATTTATAATTTAAAAAAAGATTCTAAAGAGCCAAATAATTTCGCTACAAATTGCTTAAAAAATCATCAAGATCGGTCTACTAGAACACAATATATAAAACTTTAAAATACATCAAAATTTTAAGGTGCCCGTTTTTCGTGCCGATGAGTGTAAAAGCCGCAAGTACAACAAAAATTACAGGAATTATTGGTTGCAAGAAACGATATGATGGTGTCACACTATCATCATTTTTTTTAGCAAAAAGAACAACTTCACAAAATGAGATTAAGTGATGAAACGACTAAGATATACGTACTTGTATGCTTTTGGAGTCCTTCAGTATTGCCACATTCTGGCAACTACCCGCACTCCTCATCCTCTTCGCATGCCCGGTGGCCTCCCTACAAATCCTCGAATACAGCAGCAGCATCATCACCCATATCAGAATAAACATCGGGTACACGACGAAGTTCATGTAGTTCTGCGGAATCACTTCGATCAGCTCGCACACGGGCGCCTGATGCCAGTCGTTCCACATGAGCGGCACCACCGCCACCGAGAAACTCATGCACCACCCTAAAATAATCATCACCAGCGACGATTTCCTGGTAATGAGTCTGACGTAATGCAACGGGTACACTATGGCCACGTACCGATCGGCTGCTATGAATAGCAGGTTGCATATGGAACTGGAGCACGCGAACGAGATGAGCACGAATCGCAACAGACAGTTCAGTTTGTTCGCGCCGAAGTGTTCGACCACGTAGAACGCCATGTGGTACGGCACGCTGCATCCCACCAGCAGGTCGCTAACGGCCAAGCTGAAAACGAATTGGTTTGCGATGACGGAACTCAATCGCTTGCTGAACAGGATCGCTCCGATGGTGAGCAGGTTACCGCTGAGGGTAATCGTGGTGGTGATGATGTTGATGACGAACCAGGCGGTGCTTCCGCAGTACGGTTCTTGGTAGAAACAGTTGGAACTTTCGTTGACATCGGTCATGCTGTCCGAGGTTCCTATCAGCACTGTTCAGGTTGAGTTCGAAATATTGACGGCATCTTCGATGAGTTGTGTGGTGTGGGTTGCTTTCCAAGAGCGTTTAGCGGTTAGCTCGAATGTAGAAGCCACTGATTTAATCAGCAGCGTCCTGTATGAAGATTGTGAAGCGGTCGGTGACGTCACGGTTTTATTCTAAACAGATTGAAGAAAATTATCAGTTTTTTTTCTAGAAATTATCATAAATTTACAGGGATCTCTTAAACCATATTTTAGCCTAATGATTTGACATCATGTATGAGGTAAATGGTTCTTAAAATATGTCTAGGCAGTGGAGACATGCTTGTTCTGTGGTAGGCAAGATTCTTTCTTTTTCAGTCTAATTTAAATGTTTTGTCTACTTCTGTATTTTCAGCAAATATATTTTGACAGCCATTTTAAAAGGAAATTGTCGAAAAAAAGTAAAAAATACTGTTTTTCTTAATAAATTTGAAATAAGACTGGGTCATGATAATCCTTTATTTTGTTTATGACAATGGCACACGTATTCTTCAAAAAGTATGGCTCTCTGAACTTTGGAATATATAATTTTTAACTATCCGTTCCAAATAACAATAGATTATGTATGTACATAGCTTTTTTCCCCTCATATTTTTTTGTTCATTCGGATTACCAAATCTAATCACCTAAAACGTATGGGAAATTTGTTGTTTTTTTTTTATATTTTTTTACAAGTGTAATTCAACCTGTGTAAGGTTGGTCTTGTTTTATACATTTTTAAACAGTTTATTTTATATCAATTTTAAAAATAAAAACGTCTAGAAAATTATTTAATAACATGTTTGCCTTTTAAGCAAAACACAACAAATTATACTAGAATTTATACTTTCACTCAGAAATGCAATTTCAAAGTTAATTTTTGGGACGGTGCACAGTGCTTCGTCCCATGGACAAAAATCGAAAAAAAAGTTAAAACTTACTAATATCTGAATATGTAATTTTATACTTAGCAACTTAATTTCATACTATAGCAATGTTCAACCATCCTGTATATTATTTTTCATAAACAGCGTTTTTTGTTAGCAAATATTTTCAATAAAAATAAATTTTGCGATCATTATCTTATATTAGCAAAAGAATAACATTCATAGTAGTTCTGTATATGGAGTTAAACGGTATGTACTTAATTGAAAGCCACTATAGATATTGTTAAACAAGGTATGTACTTTAAATTTATTTCTAAACAAGTTCGTTATTGTTTAGTTTTTATTTATTTTTTAAGAAGATTCTTAAATGGGTATAAAAATTTTACGTTTTCAAACTTCAAAAAGTCATTAAAAAAAAACATATCAAAACATATCGTATTTATTGAATATTTTTCTTGTCATATTCATACACTTTTAATTTTTGTATAGTTCACCTGCGTCCGCTTGCGACGAACTTTATTTTTTAATACTTTTCAGATGGAGTAAAATTGATAAGCAATGCCGATCTGGTTAATACTTGGCTTAATCATAAGGACAAGAACTCAAAATTATTTATATTTCAAAAAATGTGTTCTTTATTAGATATTGATGAACCTTCCAGTCCAATTTAATAACCACTTGTGCCTGAGCCCACTATGTTGGAGCGAAATGTGGCATAAAAAATGTTTCCATCTTTCAATTTATGTATATTTTTTTTTTTTTAAACCTCATACCCAAGAAAACGAAAAAATAATATATGGATATGGTCTATTAAAGAGGTAACTATTAACATCCGAACCCCTCATACCAACAAAAAGAACAGTAACAACGCGAAAAAGTAACATATTAGAAAATTATGTACAGAAATATCTTATATGTGAGGATATTTCATCTACCTGTGATTTGGATACTATAAATTTGGAAGGTTCTGTCAGCAATGATTCTTCTGAATCAGAGTAGTTACGATCTATGCATTTTGTTGTCCTAAAGTAAATTTATAGTATCTAAAGTTTTTTTTAATTAAATATATCATTAATGTTTCTTTTTCATTAAAGAAAAACATTTTTATCTTATATTAGGTTTATATTGTAGGAATCATGTTCTAATGTTATTCGAATTCTTTTTATCACAGGGATTTATTTAATATTTACACCGTTTTCATACTATAAATTATTATTTCCTTAGATGGAACACAGCTCCAACATTTTTATTATTTATAAGATTTTTTTTCATAAACGTGGGACTAAGAACATCATCATTTAGTACAATGAGAGGACTCATCATTTGTGTCAAACAAACCTAGTTTGAATAAATTGCCTACAATAAAAGAGAAGTTTTGCATTTTTGTCCTCTAGAGCCATATGTTCGAAGCACTGTGCGGTGGTACAATTTTCCATAAATAATTTTGTTCCCATTTAATATACATTATAAGGCATCTATAAACAATTTAATTCAATTTAAAATAATGGGATGTATCTCTGGAAAGTTACAAGTATTGTTTTATGTTTTGCATTTTACACAAAAAAAAATCAAATTAAATTTTCAAAATAAATTTTAGCCTAATATGTATTTAGATGTTACTTTATTTATAACAACCTTTATTAAGATGTATCATATATTATTACTTGTGTTTTTATAACCTAAAAAATATGGAGGGTGACAGTTTGAGAGGTGTCAATCTTATGCACAAAAAATAACCAGATAGATCTCGAATGCATATCGATTGAAAATATCGTTGCTTTCTCTGTACAGTCTCATAGAAATATCTCAGATACTGCTATTATTTTTTGATATCACCCTGTATAGATTTAGTTTCTCAGACCAAGTTTTTAAACCAAGCCTAGTTTAGACGTTATGCCGGGTCCAGACTAAGCAGACAAAACAACGACATATACCGTGACATGGTTTATATGCATCATTTTTTTTAGTAAATTTCAATATAACAGTTTTTAATATAATTTCAATAAAATTTTAATACTGCATCAAATAATTCAACTAAACAAGTTTTCAACTACTAAATTACCATCACACTGTCTACAGGGTGTCAAAAAGATAGAGAGATACCTTCTTCGGGGAGCATTTTAGGGCATATGTTTATAGGAATTTTTGTTTTATTTTTTTCTCTAGAACCACCCACCAAAGTTAGATGCACTATTTTTTGACACTCTGTATTAGTTTTTTATAAATATTTCAAATTGTTTTTGATAATGTTTTTTTATGATACAAGAATTTTATAAAAATACAAATGCACAATGTTTTCATGTCTGGCGTTTGAATAGCCATTACTTAAATTAAAATATTTGGGATGATTGAACATTTTTAAACATTCTCTCGAAAATGGATGGATTGATTTATAATGTATAGAAATTCCTATGCAGCTATTTTTAAGAACTAATTTTATTATTTTTCGTTATTATTATATATTAGACGGTTTTTTACTCACTTAATTGTGTAAACAGAGTTATTATAACTTATCTTGATTTATTAAAAAATAAAACATGTCAATTTCTAATAATTAAAATGTTTTTATAATAATAACGTATCCCTTTTTAAGTATATTATTTATACGTATAGTTTAAATTTAATTATATGTAAAATAACTGACCATTTTTGGCAATTTAAACTCATACCATGATAAAAATTGGTTTCCTGAAAAAAAAAAGAATGACTAATGATAATTTACAAAGGAAATCATTTACAGATTGTTCGTCTATAAAAAAAATGATTATGATGTACGTGATTATGGTACGTTTTTTGCCTTGTTCTAACACAATTATCATTGTTACTACATTAATTCATCATTGTTATTATTTTGAAAAGTAATTCAAAAATATGGTTCTGTTTTAATTCGAATATTTTAATAACGAATATTTTTAAACTGGAAAAAGGTTTTTTTTTTAAATAAATTCATATACAATATGGAATACATTTTGCTCATTCATTCAAGTTTTTTTTCTGCACATATGCAAATCTTTTCAGAGCTGGTAGATCTCGATAAAAGAAATATATTCCCTCTTTGCCGTTTTTTTCAAATAAGTCCAAAATAACCGAGGTATGACTTTGAAAATTTCCAAGAAATTGATTTTTTGTTTAAATCTTGAGGAACCACCGGATCTTTTCTGAGTTTTCTTTCTTTTAAATTTAATATACCACGTATGTTGCCACGTATTTTTTTTTAATCGTGGTTTTGGGGTCGAAATATACTACCCCTAAAAATATTTGCACTTATTTAAGGCTCACCCTGTATATATTTTTTTGACCAACCTTTTCCAAAGGGATCTACTAAATATAAAGAACCGTGAAGGAAATCTTCAGTTTCTTGGTTCAGAATTTATGGGGTTGAAATATAAATATTATAAATATTTTCTTCTTGATGTTAGTTCTTTAAAAATGTTATATTTGGAGTAAAAAATTGTATTTCGTTTATAAACATTAATTATTAAGTTAAGCTTCATTCAGAACCTCGCAACTAGTGGAATAAATTAGCGGTTTCAATTAGCGTAGAAGTGTGTTCTTCTAATATCAATGTAATCATTCAGATCATCAAAATTAGTGGTAGTACTTTTCAATTAGTAGAAAAAGTTAACGAACCTTTAACTTTTTCCACTAATTACACTTGTGAATTGAAATTGTGGTAGAAATTTAAAAGTTTATTGTTTTATAACCTAATTATTAGGCATTCTGTATGGATACAACTGACTACTGCAAGCTGTTGCTAGGATATCCTATTAATCTTAATTGTATTTTTTAGACATTGTGAATAATCGTAAACTCTTGAGTATAATTGGAACCACTAATTTATTCTACTAATTTCGAATTTTTGAACGAGTCTTTAAGTCACAGTTCGGTATGGTAAATATGAAATATTTGTTACAAAAATATACTCTTAATTGAATATTACCTTTATTAATAATAAAAGAGAATAACTCCAAAATATACAATTTTTCGTTCATTCAAACGATCTCGCACAACAACCGAAATGAATAAATAACAACAGATTCGCGTATAACTCTCTGTGTCGATAGTTATAATCACTGGTCTTATTAAGGCCGATTGCTACTACGATCGACTGTACGGTTCAGAAGTCGCGATAATTCTGTTTCCGTTCGTATGATAGATTCGCGGCAAAGAGTCCATTGCGTCGTCCACGCGGTCCTTGGCGTTTTCGCGAGCCTCGTGTATTTTGACGGAGCGCTCGTGCCTTCGACACCTGTCTTTGTC